CTACTGACAGGACCTGGAAAGCAAGTTCTGATTAAGAGGAAATAGGGATTTTAAAGAGGCAAAGTGTTCCCAAGAGGCAAGCAAACCCTTAAACCAAAGGCAGAGAAAAAAAAAAAAGGGAGAACATTCCATAGGAAGGTGACTTCATTCAAGCCAAATATGCACCCCTTAACACACCCATCTCCTGTGCAAATGGAAAAATAAAATTGCAACAGATTAATGACAAGGAGGAGCTCAGGGTGAAAGGGAAATGATTATCTGAAAGCACAGAATATCCCACGAATTTCTTCAGGCTCTGTGGACCCTCCTGGGTCAGGCCTGGTCATGATGGGCTCTGTGAGCGAGAGCAAAAAAGGGCTTGAGGGGCTCCAGAGGGAGAGGCTGAGATGCCAAAATCAAGCAGAAAATTTAATAAAAAAAAAGGAAATATGCTCAAATCACCGAGTATAACCCACACAGGCAGTTTTATAAACATTAAAAAAAAAAAAAAAAGGGGTTTTGTGAATTCCAAAAGGCCTCTGTGCAGTGTCAAGAAAAGGTGTGTGTTGCTACATAAAAGGCTGGACTTGATGACCTCAGAGGTCTTTTCCAACCTTAGTGACTCCATAAAAAACACTTCCCACTCTGTAATCCACTGCACCACCTTGGCTGGGATTGGCTCCCTGAGGAATTACGTTTTTAAGGTGTGAGTCCAGTTTTCTCTCTCTGAGCAGCGTGACAAACCCTTCAGGTGGGGATAAGCTGGTCTGGCTCGGTGTAACTGCAGGGTCAACCACCCCAGTGCAAGGCTGGATTTTCCATCCAGCCCTGGACATCAGGATGGGACGAAGGAAGGGCCAGCACAGGGAAAGGAATAAGCCAAAAAAGTGAGCAGGAAGCCCAGCTGATTGTCCCAGTGCAGGATCAGGCACCTCTGCACTGCTCCTGCACCAAAACACTGCTGTTTCCCTAAACAGTCTCCAGCATTTTAATTCATTGCTGGTTCACTAATGACTGCATTTCTCTGGTGAACTGGACTCTGCACTCCTCTAGGAAAGCCACTGCTGGATAAAGAGAGTGATTCCTGCCTAAAAATCTTCCCCTGTTTTCAAAGCTGCAGCCACACACACTGAACCTCCCTCCATCCAGCAGCAGATCCAGAGCTCTCCCAGCGGGAGCTGAGGGTTGGGAACGCTCCTGTGGAGGCTGCAGCTCCACTGCCTGCAGAATTAGGGCTGGAAACTCGGGGGTAGAACTGAGAGTGCCTTTTATTCTTGGTTCACTGGCAAGGAATGAAAACCTGAGCTCTTCTTGACTGTATTTCAGTCAGGTTTCTGCACAAGGGGTGAGCTGGAGGGAAATCCTGCTGGGGCAAACGAGGGAAAATGAAGCAGTTTAAAAATACCTGTTAAAACTGGCTGCTTAAATCTCTTTTAAAAGCAGCCACTGGCCAGGCCAGGCCAGGCCCAAACCTTTCCTGTGCTGCTGGATGTGAGGGATGCAAACAGCAAACCTCAGTACAACTTTCACTAGTTCCTCCTGGTATTTTTAGGGAATATTCAGGGAGGGTGAAATGGAGAAGGAAAATGGCCCTTAAGGCCAAGGTGTCTGCAGGTGAACAGTGCAAAGAGAACCAGAGGAAAAAGCAGGGTTTAAAAGCCACCAACAGGCACGGGGGAGCGATGGGAATGGGAGCAACAATCACCGTGGCAGCACTAGAGGGTGCCCCACCACCACGGAGCCTTTTCTCCACCCAAGACCAGGCTTTCCCAAATTCCTGCAGCAGGGAAGTTATATAAAACAGTGGGATAAGGAGAGGAACTCCTGCTCTCTCTCTCTCTCTCTCTCTCCTCCTGCACTGCCACATGTCCTGCCCTCGCAGCAGAAGTGGAACAGCCCATTAAATCAGCAGGGAATGTTAATAAAAAAATTAAAAAAATAAATGAAGTGTGGATTTATTCTGCTGAAGCAACTTGGTGAAGGAGTCACTTCTGCTGAACCAGCTTGGTAAAGGAGTGACCCAGTCACAGGAGTGACTGGGTCACTCCTTTACCAAGCTGGTTCAGCAAACTCCACCTAGATGAGAGTGAAGAAGAGAAGGCTCCTCTCAGCAGAGCATTCAGGGGTTAAAATTTCAGCACATCTGAGCTCAAACACTTTGGTCAGACTCAGATCTTTCTTTCCTTCCTTCCTTCCTTTCATCACTTGATCTTTGATCCATGGCAAAGATGCCCCTTCATTCCACTCCGGACAAGAAAACACGCCAGGAGCAGCTGATAAACTGCACTGGCAAGTTTCCCAGTGGTTCTCTGTAAAGATTTTTTTTTTTTTGAAGTGACAAAAGAGAGAAGGTGCCAAATTTTCTCTCTTTTCCAACCTGCCCATTAGGGCAGAAGCACAAACTGACTGTTTGTTCAGATGGCTGCAGGAAACGTGTGTGACTACAAAGGGCAGGGGGAGGAGGAGGAGGAGGAGGAGGTGTCCACGGCCTGGTGGGAAAAAAAAAAAAAAATAAAATGAAGGAATGCTGGATTTCTAGCCTGAACATCTCACAGAAGATGGAGATGAACTTCACTGAGCTGTGAAATGTTCTGGGTGCATATCTGAAATTCCTTCACGCGCAGGACGAGCGGTTGTCACCACTCAGAGCCCCTTTCCTTGCAGACGCTGCTCGGCACCTGCACACACCCAGCACCCTCAAAAGCGCTGAATGAAGCTCTCACCTTCTTCAAAGTCAGTGCCAGGAACACCTGCAGAGACTGCTGAAGGCTGCCTTCTGACTGGGGTTACGTTTGACATCCCCACTGCCTCAGGCTCTGGACACTTAAATCACGCGGCCCGATTTCTCCCAGGCTCCAGCTGAGCTGATGTTTTATTTCAGCTCCTCCTTAGCAGCTGCTCTTAATGGGGTTGTGGGTGAGGGAGTTTCCAGGGGGGGCTGCCAGAGAGCAGCTTTACTTACTCTGTTGTTTTGTACACATCAGAGTAGAGCCCTGCCTTCTGGTACTTCTTCTTGGGGGGTCGAGGGGCTTTCTTCTCCCGCTGGGGCAGAGCAGGCAGAGGCTGCTCAGGGTTCTCAGGCTCAGGTGGCTTCCCAAGGGCATCCTGTGGGCTGGGAGGGTCAGCCACTGCCTCAGAGAAACTGGAAGGAGAAAGGGAAAGATGAAAGATGAAAGATTACCTTCCCATAAAGATCCTCTCACCAGATTTCATTACTCCTCCCTGCTGTCTGCTCAGCAAAAAAAGCCTCTGAATTAATAGTCGATTTAACGGTCTCAGCTATTTAAAAAAAAAAAAGCAACTCAACAACCATGATCAAGGGGGGGGGGTTAAGCACAATCTGAAGAAATGCACAATATTTTTGTAGTAACATTATTAGTTATTACAAAAAGAATGTTGTTTGTACTGCTAATGTTTATCCCTTGGAGCCTCAGCTGAGTAATTCAGAAGGCAGCTCATGCTCTCTGCCTTTGGACTCTAAAAATAAAGTGCGTGGTAACCCTTTCCTTGGCCTTCAGGAGAGTCACAGAGCAGCCCCTGAGCCCATTTCTGGAAAGGGCAACTTCTGACAGAGTTTGATCAGGGGAAAAGCACGAGAAGATGAGATCAGAGAGGGATCCCTGCTGTGGTCCTTCACCAGTGACTGCAGAGGTGCAGCCCTGACCCCTCCTTGCTGCTCTGGCTTTTACTCTTCACTCTGTGCACCAGCTGATCTCCCCTCACACCCTGTGTTTGGCTGTGACCCACACAAGTAACACTCCAGAGTTCCCACAGCTCTTCAGGGTTCCTTTCTCCAGGCAGGGTGGAGGAACCCCGTTACCGACTCATTAAACTCACCCTTCCCCAACACAACCAAAAACTCGCCTCGCTTTGAGCCACGAGCGCAGAACCAGCAGTTTGAGGTCCCCTGAGATCCCACCCTGTTCTGGGGTGTGTTCAGTGCCTGAGAGAGGCCTGGAGCACGCTTAGAACGTGTTGATTCCCTCTAAACTGAACTCCTTAGTAAGAGCAGATTGCTACGTGTGCTTGATGAGAACCAGAGGAATCCCTGAGCAGAGGCTTCCCTCGTGGATCAAAACGTTACAAAATCAATAAGGGGACAAAACTGCAAGGGAATCACCTCTTATTGCTCTCCTGTTCATCCTCAGGCAAAGACTTGTGCCTCTTCCTGGCCTGCTCCTCGGGCAGCCACCTCTTCCTCTTCCAGCCTTTGCGGTGCTCGGGGTTCAGGTTGACGCTCTGCACCACGGCCTCGATGACGTCCGTGATGGTGTCCGGGCCCAGGTGCAGGGGGCTGCTGCTGCTGCTGGGCTCCCTGTCCTCCAGCTCCTGGCTCACCAGCCTGTGGGCCTGGAACGCCTGCATGGACACCACGGCCTGCAGCGGGTACTTCCTCGGCCGCCCCGGCCGCCGCTTCACGAAGTTGTTGCCGGTCCGCGACTGCCTCTGCAGCTTCTTGGCCTTCAGGATCTTATTGACGTGGTCCAGATTTTTTTTTGTGGCCAGGATCTTGTTGTAATTGCACATTTTCCTCGCTTGGCGCTGCATGGCCTCCACCACGCTCCTCTTGAGGTGCCTGGGGGAGTAGGTGCCGGGCAGGCGCTCCGACAGGAGGGAGATGCTGTCGCTGCAGGAGCTGCTGGGAACGGTTGGAGCCACCAGGCTGTCCTGCTTGCCCAGAGCTCTCTCCCTGGAGTGGTTCCTCGCGGGACTGGCCGAGGGGGGCACGGACACGTTGGCCATCACGGCCTCCAGGCTCTTGTCCAGGGTGGGAGGACCCTCCTGCTGGGCCATGCGCTGCAGCAGAGTGTCCACAGAGTCCTCGGCCGGGGCCAGGCGGCTGCTCCGGGCGGGCACCGACACCCCTGCAACACAGAACACGGCCTCAGCAAAGCTGGGGGACAGACAGACACCCCTGCAACACAGAACACGGCCTCAGACACCCCTGCAACACAAACATGGCCTCAGCAAAGCTGGGGGACAGACAGACACCCCTGCAACACAGACATGGCCTCAGCAAAGCTGGGGGACAGACAGACACCCCTGCAACACAGATACAGCCTCAGCAAAGCTGGGGGACAGACAGACACCCCTGCAACACAGAACACGGCCTCAGCAAAGCTGGGGGACAGACAGACACCCCTGCAACACAGAACACGGCCTCAGCAAAGCTGGGGGACAGACAGACACCCCTGCAACACAGACACGGCCTCAGCAAAGCTGGGGGCAACTGGGAGGAGTCACAACCAAAACACATCAACTGAACGGGTTGGTGGTGTTTGGTGACTGCCCAGAACGCCCCACGACACGACACGCGATTTCCATCCACCCCATTTCCATCCACGACCCCTCTCCTTCCAGCTTTAACATCAGTTGTTAACAGCGATTTCACACTCAGCCCCTTCCGACAGCAAAAAGCAATGAGGGTTCACACACTCCAGAACTCAAGTTTCCTTCTATCCAACACTGAAAGTGTCTCTGCACATAAAAACTCTAACCCTGATAAAAAACTGAGGGGCATCTGAAATGTTTGCAAACCACTTTTATCAGAAATACGAGCCTAATGATGACAGGACTGATTGGATAAGGGTAAATCAAAATATCTGGACAAAAGAGAAAGGCTAATCTACAAAGGAAGCAAATTTAGATCTCTCTTTTAAAACTGTTACATGTTTTAGAGCTGCAGACCGGTGTTTGAAAAAAAAAGAGAATTTCCAGGTCAACCACGTCGATTATGCTGCATTAAAAAAGGGATTTGTTCCCAGCTCGGAGCTTCCCAAAGCTGCCCTGCTGCTCCTCGGCGATAACATTCCATCAGAAGGAACCCCGTTCTCCCTGGAATGAAACGGATGCTGCCTCCTCCTCATAAATACATCCCCAGTGCACATCAGCACCGTGACAGAACGTTACAGCAATTGTGGTCAATTATTCAGATCAGATCTGCTCAACCCAGCGGGGCCCAGGCTGCAGATTGAGCCGTCTGGTGTCAAGGGAACTGTCCCGGGGAAGAGCACCAAGTGTTTCAGGAAGGCTTCTCCCTCTGGCAGGAGGGAGGTGATTTGTGAGTTGACAAAGCACAGCTGAAATGTTTTCTAGCCCCAGGGTTCCCTAGTCCTGGACAAATGGGAATCCTCACTGTCATTCCAAAGCCAGGGGACTGGAAGTGGAGAAGAGGAGGTGCTTCAGGGAGTTTGGAGGAGGAAGAGTCAGCAAAGCACGTTTCAAAAAAACCCCCCTCTGACCTGGGGACAAAGGACAAAAAAGCCTCCTGTGAGCACCTGCACAACCCCAACAACTCCAAAACAACCCGGATTTACACTTCCAGCTTTCCATTTCAGGCGAAATAACGAAGATAAATCAACCCTTCGCTTCCTTGTTGGGCCTTCAGATGTACGTGGGGGGGTTTCCCTCCCAGCACCCACCTGCCAGCACGGCAAACCTCAACCCAGCGCTGCTGCTTGGGAACTGCTCCAGAGGGATGGGGTCTGATCCAGGCCCTGATCCCAGGGCCAGCTGCAGCCCTCTGACAAACACACTGCGATCCCACACGCATTCCAGATCCAGGGCAAACACAACAGTGACCGGTCCTTTCAGCTGCATCATCGCTTTGAAACTTGTGATTCATGTCATTCCAATGCTCCCGAGCTTTTAACACTCCCATTCCCAAGGGAGAGGCAGCTCCCCTTCCCAGCGAGCCAGAGGGAAAAGGGAGATGCCTTCCCCACTTGCTGAGGGTTTTGTAGGCTTCCAACTCAGAGTATATTGTGGGATTCTGTGATCTCATTCCACCCCCTGCAATGGGCAGGGACTCCTTCCACTGGAAGGAGTGGAATCTCTCCAATCTTTTCCTGCTCTCAGGGGTCTGCTTCACCACACATTTGACAGCTGGATGGTAACATGCAGGAAATGAAGGTTTTCAGACCTCCCCTGTCACAGCTTGGTCCATAAATTCCACAAAATGCGACCGACAGGAACACACACACATGACATCTGCACGGGTGACCTCCTGACAAAAGCCCAACCGCAGAGAGTCACAGGATCAGGGGATTGTTGAGGTTGGAAAAGACCTCCAAGATCATCCAGTCCAACCTTTGTCCCGTCCCCACCCTGGCCCCCAGCCCAGAGCACTCAGGCCTTCCTTGGGCACCTCCAGGGGTGGGGACACCAAACCTCCCTGGAGCCCATTCCAATCCTTAACAACCCTTTCCAGGACGAAATTCCTCCTGATATCCAACCTGCCCCTCCCCTGGCACAGCTTGGGGCCGTTCCCTCTCCCCCTGTGTCATTACCTGGGAGAAGATCCTGACCCTCACCCAGCTCCCCCCTCCTGTCAGGGAATTCCAGAGCCAGAAGGTGCCCCCTGAGCCTCCTTTTCTCCAGGTCGAGCCCTCCCAGGAGGGAGAACCTTTCCCATCCTGAGGATCCCCAAGCAGTGAGTGAGCTGCAGGGAATGTCATCCCAGGGCTGAGGAAGCCAATTCCATCTCCTGCTGCTCAGCTGCACCAGGGCTCTGGGCAGCACCCCGGCCTTGTCCTCATTCAATGGAGGTGCTACCAGAGCTCCTTTCAGCACTTCCATCCCTCTCCCAGGATCATTCCTGACCTGCCTCCAGAGCAGCACAGGGGTCAGGCTCTTCCCCAGGGATGAATCCACCCCTCTTATTCCCAGATTCACTGCAGTGCCACAGGCCTGGAGAACATCAAAGCCCTGACCTTCACAAGGCCTGACTCGACCTGGTGAGGAACCAAACCCGCCCTTGCACCCCAAAACACCAGTGGAAAACCTGGCTGTGCCCCACAGTGATGCTGCACACCAGCTGTGCGTGCCAGGGAGGTGCCAAAGCGAGGCCCCTGAGCGTGACTCGCCTGGGGAAGCCGTGCTCTCCGACGTGGATCTCTTCCTGGAAGGGCTGCAGCTCGTGCTCTCCGACTGCCTCTGCGAGGGTTTGTCCTGGGCTGGCAAAGTGCCTGAGGGACAGAGAGAGGGGATGGGAGAGGCACAGAAACCATCATTTCACTCTGCAGCAGCAAATGGTCAGCGGGTGGTTGCTCTGGTTTGGTTTTTAGGAAGGTTTCAGTGCCTGGAGGGTGGAAATGGAATATCAGGAAGGGATTCCTCACAGGCTGATGGAACAGGCAGGGCAGTGAACAAGCCATGAGTAAAACCAGGCAGTAACTTCAGCATTAGTTTTTATGGGGGGGAAAAAAAGAGAAAACCCTCATACTGCTGCTTTCACATTAACCCAATGGCTTCATTCCCTGATTTTCAGGGAAAAGGAACTCTGTGAATTATCTGTAGCAACCCCTCTGCTCAAAGCAGGGTCAGCTCGAGCAGGTTGCTCAGGGCCACCATGTCCCACTGGGTTTCCCACACCCTCCAAGGATGCAGATTCCACAACCCTCACTGCAAACACAACTCCTGGAACTTCAGCAGGTTCCCTCTGCCCCTCTCCTGCCACTGGGCACCACCAGCACCAGTGTGGCTCCTCCTGCTTCATTCCCTGCCACCCAGCACATGGACACGCTGGGAAGAGCTCCCTCTGCATCCTCTGCTCCAGGCTGGCCGACCCCAGCTCTCCCAGACTCTCTGGATAAACGATCCCACCTCTCCTGGACTCTCTGGATAAATGATCCCAGCTCTCTGATGACTGATCCCAGCTCTCTGATGACTGATCCCAGCTCTCCCAGACTCTCTGGATAAATGATCCCAGCTCTCTGATGACTGATCCCAGCTATCCCAGACTCTCTGGATAAATGATCCCAGCTATCCCAGACTCTCTGGATAAATGATCCCACCTCTCCCAGCTCTCTCAGTCTCTCTGATGACTGATCCCAGCTCTCCCAGCCTGCCTGGATGACACAGACTCCAATCCCCTGCTTGCCTTTGTCTCCACCAGACTCACTGCAGTGTTTCCAAGCCTCCCTTGGACTGAGGATCCCAGAGCCACTCCAGATGTGGCCTCTCCAGGCCAGGGCAGTGGGAATAACATCCCCCTCGACCTGCTGGAGATGCTCTCCAAAACCCAGCTCATGATGCTTTTAAAATTTTAAAACTCTTTAGATTTGTCCCTTTTTATTGCTTTTAAAATTTTAAAACTCTTTAGATTTGTCCCTTTTTATTGCTGCTTTTCCTCCCCAGGGAGGAAAAACACAAAAAACCCCCAAATATTTCTGTGTCAGTCCATCAGGGCAGAGCTGTAAACGCCCCAGGGCCTAAACAAGCGAGGATGATGATTATCTGCACACAAACCGGCATCTGAGGCACCTGCAGAACACGTTTCCCTCTGTGTTCTGACTGCACAGGGCTTGCTGTCACTCGCTGAACCCCTGGATGATGCCATGGGGCAGCAGGAAGCACAACTGCCATTCATTACTTGAGTCAAAGCCATTTTTAGAAAGCCACAGAAACCCCACGACTGCTGCAGGGTGAGGGGACGGGGTTGGTTGCGGCAGCTTTGAGCAAAGAGCCATTTCTGTCCCCCTTCTCACACGTAAATATTTTCTTACAGTAATTTCTTACAGGAATTGTTTGATTTTCCTGAAGTTTAAAGAGCCCCAATTACTCCCGAAAGCAAAGGCTGTGGGGGGTTGTTAAACTGCCACAGGAAAACCCGTGTGTTGCGGTGACGAAAATGCCAAGACACTAAAAAAAAATCCTGAGATCTGTGTGAATTGATGTGTGAAACCCCAGGTAGATGCACGTGGCAGCGCGGGAGGAGAACGTGCAGGGCCTGCAGGAGTCACAAAATCCAGCATGAATCGAGACAGAGTTTTGTTGTTTCCCTTCGAAACACGGCTGGTGGTGAATGAGCTCAGCGGTGCCCGAGCTCCTCCCTCCCTTCCTCACAAACTCCACCCAAAGCAGGCAGTGGGACACTGAAGCTCTGCCCAAAAATCAAGACCTGGAATACCCCTGGAATTCCTTTCCCATGGGCTTCAGTGGCTCGAGAGAGACCCTGGGGGTGTGCAACCGTGGGAGAACTCTTGGAAGCACCAAACTGATCTACCAGAATCCCTGGGGAAACCTCTTTGGAGCCTCAAAGTTTGGGATTGTTGTGATCATGGGCACCCTCAGCTCCTGGTGGAACACCCGTGACGGGCTCCACTGGAGGAGGGAATGAACAACAGCACTTTTTTCCAAGGATTCCAGCTCCTCGACAGGGCAGAGGGATGGTTTCCTATTCCACTGATTCTTCTCAACAAGGCACCATCACAAGGCTCCTCTTATAATTATTATATATTGCTTTATTTCAATTATTAAAGAGCTCTTAACCCACGAGTTTCCCCTCATTCCAAGCCCCCGACCTGCTCTCAGTGTC